TAAATTTTGGTTATTAAAAATATTAATTTATAAAAAGTTATACCGAGAGACTCGACGGTAGATAATTAGATGTTGTAGCAATTTATAAAATAAACCAAAGGTTGGAATTGTTCGTGAAGTAAACTAAATATATAAATCAAAGGTTGCAATCGTTCGTGAAATAAACTAAATATTGCAATAATTCAAATAAGAGGTTGCAACTGTTTATGAAGAGTTACAATAAAAAACGCAACCGCTGAAGATATTCGGATTGCAATTTTCAAAAAAACATACCCGTAAAATATTTATTTTAGTTGAAAAGAAAGGCATTATATAGAGTTGAAAAGGCACGATTTTACAACTATTCGATAAGTTCATTATGTAGACGAACGTGTCCGTTAAAGCTTTAATGTGTGGGGCTCATTTCACTCACGTATGTCCAAATTATTTAAATCTCTATATTATTGTTTTCTCATGATATCACGTAAATGTTAAATGAATGATATAATTAAGGAGGTTATACTACTAAATATATCCATATGTAAACTATGAAATAAAACTAATTTTATATGTAGTTTATTGGTTTATGTAAAAAGAAATTCAATAAAACAATATGACCGTACAAAAATAACTGTAAGAAAAACAACCATAAATATTTAAACGAAAGGTTGCAATAAAAAGACGCAACCGTTCAGATGTGCAAATGGTATTTATTGGAAACGACATAACCGTAAAAAATAACCGATTAAAACGAAAATTGCGATAAAAAGACGCAACCAAAATAACCGCAAAAAAATAACCGATTTAAACGAAAGGTTGCGATAAAAAGACGCAACCGTTCAGATGTGCAAATGGTATTTATTAGATTGCTATTATATATAGATTGTATGAAGTTGGAAAAAGGAAACATATATGATTAAGCAAAGTATTATTATATGCCTTTGTGAATTGTGATCATATATTCATAGAAAATATTCATTTCAAATTTAATTGCTATCAATTATAGGTTGCGTTTATTATAAAATCTAACTAATCATGTGAACATGCAGAAGAAGAAAAGAAATCCATTAAATCCTTCACCCAAAAAAATAGCTATGTCTTTAGCAACGTTTAGAATATTTATATAAATTTATCATCACCGAATAATACAAAATTTGAAATTTGTAAAATATTTACACAAGTAAGAGGACCCACGTGAAGACCCATACCCATTTGCACAGAGACACACCGATAAAAAAGAAATCAAAATCTCAAAAAACTTTCTTTCTTTCTAAAGATATTTCTCCATCTCTCAATTATTTTACAGCTTCCTTTTTTGTTTTCCGCGAAAAAGCAAAAAAGATGGGTTCTCTTCTTCTTCTTGGCATCTCTGTCTCCGCCATTTTCTTTCTGTTGCTTCAACAACCAGAACAATCTTCTTCAGCCATTATACTGAGCTTGAAGAAACGCCATGGAAGCTCTGGTAGTAGTGGTAACCAATACAGTTCAAGCAGACCATCAGCTGGTTTCCAAGGGAACAGGAGCACGTGCTCTCTCTTCCTCGGCACGTGGGTTCGTGATAACTCTTACCCTCTTTATAAACCGGCGGATTGTCCCGGCGTCGTTGAGCCTGAGTTCGATTGCCAGATGTACGGACGTCCTGACTCTGACTACCTCAAGTATCGATGGCAGCCTCAGAATTGCAATTTACCCACGTATGTACATACTCTTCTTCTTCTTCTTTCTTGTCATGAATTTCTCCAATTTTCGTCGTTAAATCTTGAGTTATTTCGTTATTTGTAATGAGGTTCGATTTCGTCTGAAATCTGAAATTTTTACTGAGCTAAGTTGTCAAAATGTATCCTTTTGGCAAAAGGATTCTACTTTAGTTTCGTCTCTATAAGATTTTACGATTGCTCAAAATCAGAGATTCTGTGGTTCTAGTGTTTAATTTCTGGTATTTCACAAATGGATTAGGTTCAATGGTGCTCAGTTTCTGTTGAAAATGAAGGGCAAAACCATAATGTTTGCGGGTGATTCATTGGGTAAGAATCAATGGGAGTCTTTGATCTGTCTCATTGTTTCATCTGCACCGTCGACTCGGACCGAAATGAGGAGAGGCCTCCCTCTCTCCACCTTCAGATTCTTGGTAATGCTCTCTTCTTCTTCAGTGTCTCACATTTTGTATCCCAGGTTCTATATATAAGAAACTGTTTTTGATGTATAGGATTATGGGATAACCATGTCATTTTACAAAGCTCCGTTCTTGGTGGACATAGATGCTGTTCAAGGCAAGCGAGTGTTGAAACTAGATGAGATCTCTGGCAATGCCAACGCTTGGCATGACGCTGATCTCCTCATCTTCAACACAGGTCACTGGTGGAGCCACACCGGATCTATGCAAGGGTAAGTTACCACTTCCAGTGATTTGATTTTCTAGTGTGAAAGTCTCTTTATATATGCATTGATTGTTCTCCTTGTGACCACAGATGGGACTTGATTCAATCAGGCAATTCTTATTACCAAGACATGGACCGTTTCGTCGCAATGGAGAAAGCACTTCGTACTTGGGCTTATTGGGTCGAAACTCACGTTGATAGATCCCGAACACAAGTCCTGTTCCTCTCCATTTCTCCAACACACGACAAGTAACTCACTCTCTCTGGTTAGATTGATACATTTGTGTCTGATGTTTTTGAAAGGAATGTCTTGACACCATTTGTATATATTTTGTGATTGATCAGCCCGAGTGACTGGGCGACATCATCGTCTTCAGGATCCAAGAACTGCTACGGAGAAACAGAACCAATCACAGGAGCAGCTTACCCAGTGAGCTCCTACACAGATCAGCTAAGATCAGTGATCGTTGAAGTCCTTCACGGTATGCATAATCCGGCTTATCTTCTCGACATAACGCTCCTCTCTTCACTCAGAAAAGACGGTCACCCGTCAGTCTACAGCGGTCTCATTAGCGGTTCACAAAGGTCTAGACCAGACCAGTCTGCAGATTGTAGCCATTGGTGTTTGCCTGGTCTACCTGATACATGGAACCAGTTGTTGTATACGCTTCTCATCTATTAGCTTCTTTTTAATTCTCCTTCAATCAAATTATTCAGTTAGTAATATTTTAACACATTGGAAGAGAGAATCTTAAAGATTAATCACGGAATCAGTCAATTGTATAAACTTTTTGAGGAAATTTTCTTCCTAATGATTATAATCTTTATTTCATGCAACAACATATTAACAACAAGATTTAACCACATGATTATGGTTGTTTATTATTTAGCTTTTGTTTTAATCAACCTTTTATTATTTAGCTAAAAAAATGTATACAAACAACCCAAAAAAAAAACATAATTGGGCTTTATAAAAAATACACTTAATGGGCTACTAAAAAAGCCTTTTAGGGTTTTATCGAAACCTCTCTATTATAAATACAAGAATCCAAGTTCTCTCTGTATACATTTGTAGGTCGATTTCTAGGGTTTTAGCAGCAGCAATCGAAACTCAATTCACTGAAAAGCGTTGTTTGTAATTCTGTAATTTTCATAGTTTTGGGGTTCTCTTTACTGTTATCTGGCTTGCCTTGGATCTATGTTTCTCACGGTCTTTGTGATTGAAAGATTGGCTTCATCAGATAGTCTATGTGGATTTGTTCGTTCCCATATGATTCGTTCCCTTGAAGCAAAATCAATCGTGTTGCTTTCGTTTTATTATATAATTCTCCCTAATCTTCGGTGATTTCGTATTTATACGATTTTGCCCATGTTGATATGGGAGAACATAACTGAGCAACTATATATCATTCTTAATGAATTCTGGATTTGGTTTTTGTGTATGTTTTTGGGAAGAACAGTGATGAGTCAATTTACAGACCTGTAATGATTGCGGTAATGATCGCATTATTATGAACATCTAAGGGACTGAGTTCTTCCTTCTTATTATTATGTTTTTTGTTTAATCTGATAAGAGGCTGATGATGATTAGATATAATGGTTACTGAAATTTCAATAAGTGTGTTGAAATACTATCTTCTTGACTAGGACGGTCTGAGGCTTATCTTTAAAGATTAAGGAATAATGCTTTTGTTTTCACAAAAAAAAAGGAATAATGTTTTTGTTTTTTTGATTTAAATGAAATTTGGTTGTGGATGATGATAACAATTATCAAAAAACAGTTATCCCTGTCTGAGGATTTTAATCCCGTTGATGATTCTTTTGTAATCTGACACAACACATACCAGTTAATTTCATTTTTGTTTTTGCTTGTTGACAATTTTATTTGAGACCCAAAAGTATCACAAACACGAGTATGATTCAAATGTTATTATTGATAGATGGGATTGAAACTGCGCATCTTCATCATTTGAGCAATTGAGTCGCTACTACAAAGTTGTTGCAAAAAATAGAAACTACTATAAAATTAAGAAAATCTTTGACAAGTTGTTGAATGTTTAGCATATTATTAAAAATGGAAACAAGAAAATGTAAAATAAAAAATAAAAGAACCGTTGGAAGCAAATAAAGTGGAAAAATAAAATAAACAATTAATAATTCAATTCTAATACATGAGTTAATAATAATTTTTTGAGTTAACAATTTTACAAAAGACGACTCAAAATTGTTAATCAACCATAACATATTGTAACTCAAACTTAATTTCAAAAAATGAAGTTTAATTCTTGATTGGTAATATTTGTAAGTTATCTATGAATTAAGTTTATAACTTAACTCAATGATAACTCATGCTACCAATCAAAGCGTTTATCTGAGTTGACTTTCGTATGTTAATTAACAAGAAGGTTAAGGCTAATTTACATGAAGGTTTTAACTTTTAACCAGGATAAAACTCCTCCATAGTGTTGTGTTGTCTATATGACTTCACTTTCAGCTTCATCTACATACCAAAATCATGTTTTGTCGTAATGGGCCTTACTGGGGCTGAAATGAACGAGGTTAAGGCTTATTTATTAGCCCACTAGATAATTCTGAAGCCTGACTTGGATATAAAGTTTAAAACCCTCGTTCCAGATTTCTCTTCTGGTCCTCGAAACTTCTTCTCTCCCAATTGAACGACCAAAAAGTTGCAGAGCGCACACACTCTCTCAATACAGAGATGGCGAGCACTGAGCCAGAGCGCGAGAACCGTGAAGAAGAAGCTGAAGCCAACGAAGATGAAGATACCGGAGCTCAGGTAGCTCCGATCGTTAGGCTTGAAGAGGTTGCAGTCACCACCGGCGAGGAAGATGAAGACGCAGTCCTCGATCTGTATGTTACTCGTTCTCTTACTCTTTTAGCTCCGATTTCTGTTTCCTTTGCTCTGGTTAGGTTAGTCTCAGATTTTTGATTAAAAGATGTATTCTGGGTTTTGATCCGTAGGAAAGCGAAGATGTATCGATTCGATAAAGAAGGGAACCAATGGAAGGAGAGAGGAGCTGGAACTGTTAAGTTATTGAAGCATAAGCAGACTGGCAAAGTTCGACTTGTTATGAGACAATCTAAAACCCTAAAGATCTGTGCCAATCATCTCAGTATGTTGTTGCTCTCATTTCTGCATCTCTCTCGTTGAAAGATCTAGTTTTTTGTTTCTAAGGGCTAAATTTGTGTATGTATCTCTTCTGGAATTATGCAGTTTCGTCTGGGATGAGTGTTCAGGAACATAGTGGGAATGAGAAGTCTTGTTTATGGCACGCTACTGATTTCTCCGACGGCGAGTTGAAAGATGAGCTTTTCTGCATTAGATTTGCTTCAATTGAGAGTAAGTTTACTTGTGAAAATCCTCATCTTTCTCATTCCCCGTATACTTGTTTTCTCAAAATTGAGAGTAATGTGGGTACATTTAGTAGTTTTCGAGATTTAATTTGTGATAGTTGAATCAGGGAAGATGGTTTTGAAGGTATTCTTTATAAGACTCTAGTTGTGATGATTGAAGTCTCTATTTGTAGCCCTGAATTGTGATTCATCAAGTCCATATAGAGAGCTCGAGACTGAAATGGAAATCCTACTGCTTTTGTAGTGGCAATACTTGGAATGTTGTGTCATGTTATAATCTTTCTTAGGGAGACATTGTTGTCTTAGATGACTACTGAAAGTGTTAACTCTTAATCAGCCTTAAGAATCAACATAATATCAGGCCATTTTCCAAGACTCAGTTAGTGTCACGGGTTGTGGGTCTTATCACTATACTAATAAACAAAATGGTTCCATGATCCATATTCCATAAGATGTTAAACAACTACCATAATCGTATTTATGTTAAATTAGACGCTGATATTTTCTGCTTTTCTGTGATGATTAAAATCTATGAGAATAATCTTCTCCTAGGTATTGTGCTGTCTGCATCTGTCTTTTTGGTTTTAGATTCTCGAGTGGCTAACCGATAGTGTTGCATCGGCAGATTGCAAAACGTTTATGGAGAAGTTCACTGAAATAGCTGAAAGCCAGCAAGTAGGGAAAGAGAGCACAGAGGGCGACGAGGCTGCTGGTTTAATAGAGAATCTATCAGTTGAAGAAAAGAAAAATGATGAGAAAGCCAAGGAAGCAGAAGATAAAGAGCCTGCAAAGGAAGAGAAAGAAACAAAAAAGGAGAAGGTGGAAGAAGAGAAGAAAACAGAGGCAAGCGCTTAAGTCATCAATTTAAAATTGGTTGTTGGCATCACAAGTGTGCTTTGCTTTATTTTAATATATATTATACTTGGCACTGAACATGATGGTAGCTTCAAAAGGAGTCACTCTCGTCTCTCAAAGTTTTGAGTCTTTGCGCTGTGTTAGAGAAAGAAGAGAATCTTAAGTTTTTTTTATGTTGTTGTAAGTCTTTGACTATTGTGTGGTCTCTCTACTATGTCGTTTTGGCTTAAGATATTAGTATTTGTCATCAAATTATTATCCTTGCTTTCATCTTAATTCATCCCAAATGGATTATTGACCAGCAGATTCCACTCCAGGGTTCACTCTGCTCTCAATTGTGTTGTGCACTCAACCAAAAGAGATGAAGCTCTCAAAATTCAAAACCAGAAATTTAGAAGAAAAAGAAGAAGAACAAGAGAGATTTTTTTTCTTCGATAATTAAGAATGAAGGACATGACTCTCCTTTAAATAGGCACAAAATCGAACTTACCATCAAGGATTTCAGCCATGAAATCCGAGATCCAGTAACTCCATCTCTCCTCACCGTTGCTAACAGTCCCAGAGAGAAGTGGTCACGATTTTGACTTATTCTTTTAAGAAGAAGATAGAGTTTTTGTCAAAACAAAATTTCTCAATTACGTAAAAACAAACTTGGGCAATGAGGCCCATTTGAATGTTCACAAAAGCCCAATTTACTAAACATATCCAACAATCCCCCACATGTTTTAAAATTGAAAGAAACGTTGATGTCTTTTAAGACTTGAATCAACAAAAGCGTGAAAAAATTTGAGAGCTTCGCGTATCAAATACAACGTATTATAGGCCTATTACATAACCCTGCATCATAAGTGTTCTAGTGAGTTAGCCCACAACTCATCTAGTTAGGCAGCCTTTACCTTAACACTTATTTAGGTGACTTATCAAGTGTGTGTTGTCTCACACCCCCATACGGGAATAAGTTCATTAAGAGACCATATGTCTCAACCTTCCAAACGACAACAACTTGGGAGCTTAACTATCATCAGATTAATATCATTCCTTCGTTTGACCAATTTGAACCGAGAATTCAGAAGTAAATAGAATTCTTGGTTTGGTATCCAGAATGATCTAACCTGAAAAAGGCTTTAGTCCCATTTCCTTTGCTGTGTCCAGGACCATTCGTCCACACAAGCCTTTCGTGAGAGGATCAGCTATATTCTTCCCTGATCTCACAAACTCTAGTGATAACACTCCACCTTCAATCAAGCTTCTTATCACTTTATGTCGCATACGTATATGCCTTTTCTTCCCATTATACAGTGCGTTCATCGCCACAGCGATCGCAGCTTGAGAATCACATCTCATTGACACGGAAGGACAAGGTCTTCCCATCATCGGAAAATCCGCTAGCAGGTTTCTTAACCACTCAGCTTCTTGACCTGCCAATTCAAGAGCAATTAGTTCAGATTCCATAGTGGAACGAGCAATACAAGTCTGTTTAGTAGACTTCCATGCTACAGCTCCTCCACCTAATGTGAATACAAAACCACTAGTACAATTCACTTCATCATTGTCTGATACCCAATTAGCATCACAATATGCTTCAAGAACACAAGGAGAGCCAGTATAACACAAGTTATAATCAATAGTTCCTTTCAAGTATCGCATTAAACGACCAAGTGCTAACCAATGATCAGAATTAGGATTATGAGTATATCTACTCAGTCTACTCACTGCATATGCAATATCAGGTCTTGTGCAATTCATCAAGTACATTACACTACCTATCACCTTAGCATAATCAGATTGTTTCACACTTTCTCCTCTATTCTTATACAAATGCAAAGACGAATCATAAGGAGATTTAACACACGGTTCATCCCAATATCCAAATTTCTTGAGAACCTTTTCAATATAATGAGACTGATTTAAAGAAAACCCAGAATCAGATTTTACGACCTTAATTCCAAGAATAACATCAGCTTCATTTAAATCTTTCATATCAAATTTAGAACTCAAGAAAGCTTTTGTTTCACAAACAATTTCTAGAGATGTTCCAAGAATAAGCATGTCGTCCACATATAAACATATAATGACGTACCCATGATCATGCATTTTAGAAAACACACACGTATCTCCAAAATTTGAAACAAAACCATTTTCAAGCAAAGTGCTACTGAATTTTTCAAACCATTGCTTAGGTGCTTGCTTAAGACCATAAAGAGATTTTTTTAACTTGCACACTTTATGTTCTTGACCATGCACAATAAATCCCTCAGGTTGCACCATATAAATTTCCTCATGCAAATCACCATTTAAAAATGCAGTTTTCACATCCATTTGATGCACTACCAACTTATGAGCAGATGCAAGAGCAAACAATATGCGAATGGTAGCAATTTTAGTAACAGGAGCATAAGTATCGAAATAGTCTACTCCCTGTTTTTGAGCAAATCCTTGAGCCACCAGTCTCGCTTTGAATTTGTCAATGGAGCCATCAGCTTTGAATTTTTTCTTCAGAATCCACTTGCATCTGATAGCTTTGCATCCCCTAGGCAAATCAACAATCTCCCAAGTGTGGTTAGTCATAATAGAATCAAATTCATTATTGACTGCTTCTTTCCAAAAATTAGCATCCACAGATTTCATAGCTTCAGAAAACGTTTTGGGATCTTCTTCTATTAAGAAAGCATACACAAATTCTTCACTAATCTCATCATACTCAGCTAGAAAAGTAGTAATGAAATCTGGACCAAAATCAGTTTCAGTTCTCATTCTCTTACTCCTTCTAGGTTCTTCACTATCATTAAGAGTTCTTTTAGCAGATGCATTACTAGAAGAAGCAAGTTCTAAGCTACATGCATTGCTAGGAGAAGCAGATTCTAAGTTTCTCTTAAAAGGAAACACATTCTCAAAAAATTCAACATCTCTAGACTCGATCATGCTATCAAACTGCAAGGAATCATGCTTAAATGTTAAACAACGATAAGCAGCACTGTTCAAAGCATAGCCAACAAACACAGCATCAACAGTCTTAGGACCAATGGTGTTTCTTTTAAAAGCTGGCAGTCCTACTTTAACAAGACACCCCCACACTCTCAAATAACTCAAGTTAGGAGAATGTCCTTTCCAAATTTCATAAGGTGTAACAGGAATTCCTTTATGAGGCACTTTATTCAAAATATAACAAGCAGAAAGAATAGCTTCCCCCCACATTTGATCAGGCAACCCAGAACTAATAAGCATAGCATTCATCATTTCTTTAAGGGTTCGATTTTTTCTTTCGGCAATGCCATTTTGCTGGGGAGAATAAGGAGCAGTTCTTTCATGAATAATACCCTCTTTCAAACACAAAGAATTCAGAATTTCAGATTCATATTCTCCACCTCTATCAGACCTTAACCTCTTAATTTTTCTATCTAGTTGATTTTCTACTTCAGCTTTATACCGCATAAACATTTCACAAGCCTCATCTTTTGTTCTTAACAAATAAACCCTTGTATATCTAGAACAATCATCAACAAAAGTGATATAATAATGCTTGCCACCTCTACTAGTGGTGTTTTTAAAATCAGCCAAATCTGAGTGAATAAGCTCAAGCAATTCAGATTTTCGATTAACAGGATAAGAAAATGGTTTTCTAGCATGCTTTGCTTCCACACAAATTTCACATTTTGAGATATCTTTTTCCAAGTTATCAGGAATCAGATTAGCATGCTTTAAGCGTTTAATTGAATTCACATTTAAGTGTCCTAATCTGCCATGCCAAGTATCCAAAACACTCACAAAGTAAGCAGAAGCACCAGCACTTTCATTCATTATTTCAAGAACAAAGAGATTTCCCTTACAAAAAGCTTTTCCCACATACCCCCCATTCTTAGTTATCACTAACTTACCAGCCTCAAGAGTTTGCTTAAACCCAGCAATCATCAACAAAGCACTAGAAATTAAATTCCTACGCATGTTTGGAACAAACAAAACCTTAGTCAAAGTTAAAACTCTTCCAGATGATAATTTCAAATTAACTTCTCCAATTCCAGCAACTTGTAAAGCACTAGCATCACCCAAGAAGACATTATCACGTGGAGATTCATCAAGAGTTTTAAAGAGAGACTTCTGGCTGCAAATGTGACGTGTGGCACCTGAATCAATGATCCATTCCACCACGTCAATTGCAGCGTTTACCTCAGTGACGACAGCAATTAGGTCTTCAGTAAGATGAGCTTTGTTTGACTCCTTTTGCTGTGGAGGTAAGCGACAATCCTGCTTCTTATGTCCAGGCTTGTTACAATTCCAGCACTTCAGTTTCTTCTTGAATTCAACAGATGGTGTAATAGGATTAGACTTTTGAGGAGTCTTTCCTTGGTTTTTGTTGGATTTGAACCTGTTCTTTACACCACCAGAACTTTCCACAACGTTAGCATCATTAGGAATTGAACGAGACACTGTTTTATTACCTAAGTAGTTTCTGTTTGCGTCTTCGATCATTATGTCTGCAATCAGCTCATCAAGCGACATCTTCTTTTTCTCATGCTTCAGCTTGGAGCGATAGCCATTCCATGACGGAGACAGTTTGTCAACGAGTACCAAGGCAGCCAGTTGCTCATCGATTGGTATACCCTCGGCCTGAATCTTGGAGACAATGGCTTCATACTCATGGAGTTGATCGAGAACGGGTTGATCGTCCTTCATCTGAAATGAGGTCCATTTTGAAGTGACGTACTGCTTCTTGCCTTCATCTTCGGCTCCGTACCTTTTCTTCAAGTTGTTCCATATCTCCTTTGCAGATTCATAGTTGACATAGATATCAAACAGCTTCTCCGAGAGGTGCCTGATGATATGACCACGACATGTGCGGTTGTGATCTTCAAAGCTTCCTTCCGGTTTTGGCTTGCTTGATTGTGTCAAAACATCTTGAGAATTCCCGGAGGTAGGCGTTTCAGAGGAGGAAGTTGGCTTGTCTTCAACAAGGACGTAGCTTAAGCCAACCTCTTGAAAGAAGAACATGAGTTCCTCCGACCAGCGACGGTAATTTGAGCCAATCAAAGGCTGGAGCTTTGACAAATCGGGCACTGCAGAGTTCTTCGGCATTCTGAATCGTAATGGGACCAACAAATAATTTTTTCGCTCAAGATTGTTGGAAACAGATCTTAGAAACCAGAATTGAGGAAGAACGAAAGTTGCAGAGCCGTAGAGAATCTACTGCACTTGAGCGAAAAACCGCCTAATCCCGGTGTGCAAGATAACCAAGACGGCTCACTCCAGGGTTCACTCTGCTCTCAATTGTGTTGTGCACTCAACCCAAAAGAGATGAAGCTCTCAAGCTCAAAAATTTAGAAGAAGAAGAAGGAAATAGAAGAGAGATCTGTAATCTCAATAATTAAATTGAAGACTAGACTCTCCTTTAAATAGGCACAAGATCGAACTTCTTGTCAAAGATTTTAGCCATGAAATCCGAGATCCAATGACCCATCTCTCCTCACCGTTGCAAACCGAACAGAGAGAACAGCGTGGTCACGATCTTTGACTTGTTCTTTTAAGAAGAAGAGTTTTGTCAAAATACAATTTCTCAAAACGTCAAAACAAACTTGGGCAATGAAGCCCATTTATTTATTCACAAAAGCCCAATTTAAGAAACATACCCAACAAGAGAAAGAAGAGAATCTTAAGTTTTTTTTATGTTGTTGTAAGTCTTTGACTATTGTGTGGTCTCTCTACTATGTCGTTTTGGCTTAAGATATTAGTATTTGTCATCAAATTATTATCCTTGCTTTCATCTTAATTCATCCCAAATGGATTATTGACCAGCAGATTCCAATTCGTAATTGACATGTTTGGCAGCAAATAGGGGATGATAATGTGGTGCTTCTAAAAAGTAAAAACTAAGTTAATTTAGGGCCCAACATGGACATTACACCGGTAAAACCCATAATACGAAAGGCTCCACCACAAATAACACCATGTTTAAAGCACTTCTCTTCTCTCTTGCCTCGCCATTTAATTTCCCTCCGGCCATGAGCTGTTCCTCATGCCTTATATATCATCAAATTGTAGCTTTTAAGTCTCATATCTAACACTTGTATGTAATTTTTTCAATTTTTATCTTCATAATACCACCAGTAAGTGGATGTATGATAGTTTACTTAAGGTTTGATGTCAGTGGTAACTATTTCTTACATACAATTGTACGTTGTAGCCAACTATTATTATTAATGGCCAAAAAAACAAACCAGACCGAACCAAAATTCATTAAGTCAAAGTCGAAGTAAACTTTTATAGTAACTCAAAATTCATTAAAAATCATATTTTAGTAAAACATATGCAAGAATACTTCTAAATAAGCAAGTTTCAATCTTAGTTAACTATATGCACGAATGCTTCTAAATAATCCAAACCAAAATAAAGTTTGGTTCTAACTAGGACCCATTTCTCAAAAATGAGAAAACCCCAAAATACTCAAACCAAACCAAATCAAGGAACTGAATGCATAAAGCTAAGAGTTACAACATGACCAACAAGGAACAAAGAAATAGGTCAAAAAGAAGTAAAGAAGGCAAAATGCTTGGAAGTTGGAAAAAGAAAGGCCCAAAATAAGGAGTAGGGTGGTGTTGGCAACTGCAACTGCAATCCTTATTTTATGGGAAGAAGAGTCACTTTTGGTCAATAAAGTTCTTTAGACTCTAATCCCTCCTTCCCTCACCTATCTACATTTATATCTTTCTTATTATTTCCATGACTGCCATTTTCATGGAAAGTCATTTTCTCACACCTATTTGACAAACAATTATTATGCCACTCAAGTGCTATACCTGCACTTCTATGTGAAATAATGCAAACAAAAAATAAAACTCTGATATTCTTAAATGACCCTTAAGCTAACCGAAATTTAGGAAGCATAATTCTACTATTCTTTTATAGTACTATAGTATCATTTTAGAAATCATGGGGATTTGTTCTTATTTAGGTAAACTCCGTCGCCTTGACGAGTCACTTAGATTTAAAGATTTACAAGTTTCATCAAGCTCCTCGTGGTTAGGTCATGTGAACATCGAATATATATGTCGCAGGTATAGATGGATATGATATTATAATATATGCTTTTTAAGAAAAACGAATAAAAGTAGTATAAGATTTGATTGATAGAGAAACGTGTAAAGAGATTTTGATGGAAAAAATTGCATAGCGTTCCTCGTCTTCCACTTTTGCTTTATGTTCACGTAAAATCTTCCGATCTCTCTCCCTACTTGCCTTCTTTTCTAAGCTAACTTTCATGTGACCTCCATTACCTACCTCTCTTATTCTTCTTTTTTTTTTTGATAAAAGATTTAATCTCTTCTTATTCTTATATGTTTAATTAGTTCTTCATCTTACGTATATTTTATTCTTGCGACTACAAACAATTCCGAATCTTCCACGATTTATAGGGGATGTGTTCTGATTTTCCTTATATTAAAATAAAAGCGACGAGAAAGAATATTAAACAACTCTTTAAAGAAATCAAATAATTGAAATGAATAATTATAATAATATTGTAATGCGTTGTATGACTTATTATCTACTTAATGACAATATAAGAGATATGTTATCGGAACGTAAGATTATATTACCCTGATGTATTGAGATTACTTTGTAAGTTGTTTAGTGATAAGGGATGTGTTGAACCTAAATGCGAGTGTATATAAAACATTTTAATAAAACTTATAAGATATCTTATAGATTGATTAATAATATATAGTTACAAAACAAATTCCCCACCCTTCTTTTAAACTCACAACCTCCACTCTATTATTTTGGTTGCAACCACAACACACTAAAAGACAAAGGCCCACAACTTTCTCTTCAAGTACTTCTACACATCCATCACATTTCATCAATATTCCAAACAATGATTATGCATGTAATCCATATTCATAAGGATTTATCTTTCCTCAATATTATTTTCAGGATGACCATTGGTTCAAGAATGATTTAGGCATTTAGCTACTTCCTTTAAATATTCTTAGATTTATAAATTATTGTTGACCAAATATCCTGATTTTATGGGTTTTTAATATAAAGGAAAATGACTAATATATTTATTTCATTTTTCTTCAATTTTGATTTTCCCTATACTTAACACACATATATAGTTGGCCCTCCAACAAATAAAGAAATCATGAGCTGATTCAAGTGAGAAAAGAGAAGTCTCTCCAAGATTAAGAAGACGGCTCAATGAGTGTAAAAAGCAGTCTCTCAAGCTTCCTCAAGATCTTATCTTCTTACAACTCCAATGTCCTTTTAGCTGCTCTCGTCTTCCTTCTCTTAGTCGTCCTCTTCGTCTTACTTCTCCATTTCTACGCTCGCTTTTTCTGGTCTCCTTCTCATCAAGATTTCTTCGCCGCCGCTAGACACCGCCGGAGAAGACGACGAAACCGGAGAAGAACAATGACTACAACAAGAATCATACCTTCTCTCCCACTAGGAGGTTTCGATGGTGGAGTTAATGCTCCTGCTACTGCTGCAACAAGCGATGACAAAGGTTTGGATTCTTCAGTGATTTCTTCAATTCCTCTGTTTGTTTACGAAGAAGACGAGGAAGAGGAAGAAGAAGAAGAAGAGTGTGTGATATGTTTGGGTTTGTGGGAAGCTGGAGATTTTGGAAGAAAGTTGAGAAATTGTGGACATGGGTTTCACGTAGAGTGTATTGATATGTGGTTGTCTTCTCATTCCACGTGTCCTCTTTGTCGATCCCCTGTTCTCGCCGCCTCCGTTGAAGAAAACCTTAAGCCGGCCGTTAACGCCGTCGAAGAAGCAGCAGAGGTTAGATTGCAAATTTTTCCAACCGGAGAAGATGAGAACAACAGTGATCGGAGGGTTTCAATGTCTCTTGCTGTAATGGAAGATGATCTCAAAACAGGGGATGATGACGGAGAAGAAGAGGTTAGAATTGAAGTGTTTGATGATGAGGAGATCAACGGTGGAGGATCAAGAAGTGATCGGAGAAGATCAATGTCAATGACTTCATCAACATCAAGTTCGTTGATGAAGATGTTAAGTAGTAGTAGTAGATCGGAGCGTAACAAAGTACTGTTCCCGACGGCGAGGCAAGATTCGTCTAAGTAGAAATATTTTATAATTTATAGATAATATAAAAAATGTTGTTGTGAATTGTGAACAATTTTGGAAATGGAATATGAATAACCAAAAGCCTCGTTGGGGTAAAAATGAAAGATGTATTGTATACAAAAGAGGTAATCTATTTTGTGATTAAGCTAATGGTTATTTCTTGAATGGAAAGGCAAAATCTAAGGTCATGTAATCTTATAATTTGTAATTAGATCTCATGTAAAATCTGGTTTTGTGTGATTTTGAAAGATGAAAAAAGCGTAGAAAGCGACAGTGAAAAATGAGAGAATCTCAGAGGGATACATCACTCACTTCTCATTTGGTTGGGTTGGGATCAATCAAAAAGCAACTAACTACTGTTCAACTTATTGTTGCAAACTTAAAATTATGCTTTTGTATTTTCCATTACTCTTGGCCTCTTCTTCTATCTTCCATATCATTTCATATTCGGTAGGACACCACCATGCTTTGCAGTTTTTTTTAAGACTAGTCTATTTTATGTACATACATCGATTTAGAACTAAATAGATATCGAAAACGAGTGATCAATTAAGAGAAACGTTAACTTTATAATGACCACAACATATAACCTTTATGATATTTCTAGTCTTCAATCAAAGTATAATTTCCATAAAATGAGCTGAGAAGTTGTTTTCAAAAGTTTACTTTTTTGATTGCTTACTCTAACACTCTTTGTATTTTTAGGCCTAAACCCTGAAATCACTCACATTTCTTCAAGTCAAGTCTTTCCCCTAAAGACAAAAGCTAAACTATTCACAGAATGGAATATAAAGAAGAGGTCAAAATCGGTGGAGTGAGTGATGAGGTTGATAAGCTTTCCAACAAGGTGAACCTATCTCTATATCAACTGTCTAACATGTAAAGTAATGTACAAAACATGACAAGGCTCTAAATGAAATTTATAATGACAGGAGAACTTTCACCCTTAGGATATGTAGTCAAAATGAATGTTTGCGCCTGGTGAGTAACATTCTATGCTTCAAAGAATGTGTCACTAAAACTATAACCGCGAATACAACAAACTCCACGTTCTCTATTTTGTGCTAGATTTTTCTATAAAAGCCCATCACAAGGCCCATGAAAATGAGATTTGTATGTGATGATGACAAGTATGATATAGTGAAGAACCGACAACACAAGTTTAGAAACGTCAAAGGCCAAACGGGATTTTCTGGATTCTTGCTACACAAGCGAGCACTTGATGGAGTCAAGAACCACCAATGAAACTTTCTTGGTTAAGAGGTACACGAAGACCGTCAACATCATCAAGGGTATTGTGAAAATGAAAACTGAGTGTTTAACGGTGTTCAAGATAGACGAGGAAGGATACGCTGTTTTCACTCGAGTCTCGAGACATCGGAGATCTCGTCATTTTCCTCTCAAAGTCTGAACCATTCTGTGTCCCTGCTAGCTCATTTTCCGGCATGTCCTCTAACGGAGTCAGAGTCTTGGATGTCGTCGAATCAGCGAATGCCCGTCTGGAGTATAAAACGTGTACCATTCATAATACAATTTATAGAGATGGACTCGGGGCCCCTTACCATATTCCTCCTCAAAAAATAGACTAGTAGCTGGGAATTGAGTTTGAGAGTCTGGAGACTCTGTCTTTTCTTTTAAACCATTCAAGCATCAAATCTATTTTTACGATTTCATGCTCACTTCTTCTGATCTCGAGCTCTTTTTCTTTGGTATGTACAGTACAACTTCGAGTTCAGTGTCTCTGTTCCATAACCCTCTTTTAGAGGAGCCACTTGATAAAAGCTTATAAGTATGAGCTGCACAAACCAAAGTATGATTTCCGTAAAATGAGCTGAGAGATTGTTTTCGAAGTTTACTTTTTTGATTGCTTACTCTAATACTCTTCGTATTTCTTGACCTAAGCCCTGAAATCTCTCGCATTTCCTCAAGTCAATTCTTTCCCAAAGACAAAAGCTAAACTATTCACAGAATGGGAAACCAAGAAGAGGCCAAAATTGGTGGAGTGAGTGATAAAGCTGATAAGCTTTCCAACAAGGTGAACCTATTTCTATGTCCTCCTTGAGTCAACTGTCTAACCTTTAATATCTGTACAATACAAGACAAGCTCTAAATGATAATTTTAATCATTGGACAAACTGAGGGCGAGAAACAACGATATGAGCCGTAGCGCAACCACGCAGGAGTTGCCTTTGACAGGGTCCGGAAGTCTGCTATTCTTTTCCTCCAAAGACTTCAACAATCCCAACAAAACAGTGGGAACTGCTTGATTGAGGACTCTACAGTTTCTCTGATGATAGTTTGTAACATGATGGTGCACGTACTAATATATTGATACCCCAAAAAACCATTTCATTTCAATCTGTAATTGACATGCCAAGGTTGTTAAGCTGGTGAAATAGCTACATTATGAACCTCAGTCCTCAGATACTTACTTTTCCTTTTGTGCCTCTTTTCTCTCTTTTTGTGAACTGAATATGAACCTAGCAATACGATTTATACCAGTCTGGTCGAGTCAGTTACTAGCCACATTGTCGTTCAGTATAAGCCTCTCATTGGTCGTGCTTCAGTCTCCTTTCACGTTCTCTCGGACTGTGCCATTTGAGCAGTCTTCACCAGCAACACCAGGTGATCCACTTGCTAACTGGTTGTCACTAGCAGAATTTGGATAAGAAGAATATCGCGGATTTGGGCTGCGTCGTGCGTTCCTGTTCTGGGCAGCTGTTGTGCTCCTGGTTGTCTTGGCACGAGCCTTTCTTCCCTGTTAGGTGATTGGCAAAGAAAACAGAAATAAGAACCAGAGGATAAACTAAACAACACGTTTTGGAATAGTAGGAGGCATGCAAAAGGTCACCTTCCCCATGCATTTTTCCAGATGAGGAGCAAACCTTCCTGCAACAATTTGGCGCCCACAGTTCATGCAGTTGAACACTTCAGTAGCTACAGGAGGGTGAGTCTGACCAAAAATATCAACAACAAATTTGGTGTTGGTTTCAAGGTTGTTGCTAGGATCAGCGACCTTAGCACGCGCTTCAACTGACAACCTCAACTCTTCTTCTACTACCTCCAAATCACGATCAAGTCCTAGTCGTGCTACCCGATGACACTCAGATGCTACATCAGCAATCACCGAATCCACAAGATCAAGAAAAACTTGGGACGAAAGCTGCAAACAAAGTTCAAGAGCAAAGAAACGTAACTCTAACTTAGTTTCCACTAGGAATTTACTTTAACAAGGAGGAGAAATCTTAATAGCTTTATAAAATGAGAATGTGGAATTAACAAACAAATTCACTTTCTTTATCTTTCAAATTGGCACCAAGATTCTAATTAGTCTATCAATGTTACTAGTTTCCTAGTAATGATGTCAATAGCAGATATAAACAGTTCAGTAAATGAATTCATCATCAGATGAAAAAATACCTCAGCATGGGAAGATTTATTATCCTCTGCGCCAGACATTGAAAATCCTCTAAAACACGAAATGCTCAACAAAATGTCTGCGAGAAAATCAAACCAAATCGTAAAGAGAGATTTCCATCACCATCAGGAGCCCTAGATAAAAGCGAATTTCTCAAGATATAAAAAAAAAGTCGATCACTATCTAACAGATTCGTTTTGGAGGTTATGTGATAGGAAACTCTACTACTCATTCATCAACAGATTTACTGTTTCAGGTTCCAAATCAAATCATACAATAAAACAAATCACGTCTAAAAGCATTGATACAGAAACGAAATCGCCATAGAATCAGAAAGCTTACACTATAGAGCCGAGTCGCGACGGTGAACGGAGGAGGAGGGAGAGAGAGGCTCTCTCTCGATCTGTTAAACTTTACACTCGGCGGGGAAACAACCAATCATGACTTGCCACGGCACCGAGGCAGCTAAAACATTAAACGGCAAGCGTTTCTTCTCTTAATTATATAAAACGACACGGTTTCCCTTTCACCGTGACCCCGAATAAGGAACCACACGCTGCTTCACGTCGTCTTTTATAAAAAGCCCATCTCATGGCCCATTCAAATTTCTCTCTTTTTTTTGGCAGCGCCCAGTCAAAAATCTCTGCTATTTAGCTTCTTCTTCTAGTTTGGCACAATTGCATTTTTTTGTTTCTTCTGAAAATGTCTCTTTCAGAACCATCCAATTAATACAAGCATACCACGTTTTCTTCTATTTCGAGAATGCGTGAAGAAATTAGTAATTTTAAAATGGGCAAAATCAAAGAGTAATTAGTTTTTGTATTCATTTGGATAAGGGCAGAAGAAGAAGCAAAGAACATGAGACACGAGGTCTCTTCTCTCTTGAGGAAATTTCCGGGAAAGTCACGGAGTCGGTTATGGGAGCCACACGATAAGGATTTTATTCAAATATACGAAAGCGACGTCGCACAGAAGAGACCAATCCAACCCCCATCCCATATGTAGTAGAGCAATCACCAACGAACGTCCCAGTCTCACTTATTACACCAACCTTTATGCAAAAATCCATCTACTAAATTATCTCCAAAGAAATACATTTTAACTCTTCTTTCCTTCTGTGGTGACATATTGTTTTCATTTGATACATATTCTCCCAAGTCGAAACAAACCTCCCAAAGATGATGTATGAAGCAGGTATGACCGTATGAGCTAAAGAGTTGAGATTCGAGAATATCTGAGATTACCTCTCTAATGGTTACTTCGACGGCGGAGGCCTTGAGTCCTGAAGATGGCGAACGACTTCCTTTCACTAGAGACAGACACTACGCCATGCATGGTGAGATCTTGACGGTAGTTCTTGTCATCGGGTTTGCCGTCTTTCTCTTGTTCCTTGTATTGCTTCCTTGTCTGAAACGCCGATACAGTCACCAGTCCGACCTGTCAGAAGAGGCTTCCTGGAGCGGGACACTCAAGCCCTCACCTGTTGTAAGCAAACAATCGATTTCCACATAGCCATAGGCCACATAACAAACAAGCATGTATTGAGTATCTGTTATAAATTGTAGAAGCGTCACTGTTCGTCATCATATGTCTCACTAATGGATAGAACATTACAACATTGTACCCAACTGCAATTGCAGCTGTAAAATAAGATCTGTGGACAACAACAATATGAGATGTTTCACTAATACGTACATACACAAGAAGATGGGAATTATGAATGCAGTTTTACCTCAATAGCAGCAATCAAGCTCGACCCTTTATTTGATGATACAGAACAAAGAGAGGGCATTATTAGAAGAGTAGAAAACCGGCCAAGGCAGAGGTTAAGGAAATGGTGAGATTGTCGTCAATGTCAGTGCTTATTGGGAGTGATTCCACAAGAGCTGATGCTAAAGAGATGATGAGGAAACGAAGAATCATTCCCCCGCTATCCTTGATGTAATCGAATGAAGCAAAGTAGTACATATACCCAACAGATGCTAAGAACCCCGCGGTGGCCATTCCAATGCTACCAGCAAATGATTTGTTTTTGTTGTAAGGAAGCTTCTCTGTTCCAAACCGCCGACCCACGATGTCAGCCATACCTTTTAACAGCAAGTGCGTGTATTAGAATCATCATTCAAAGGATTCAAATTCCCAATACAAAAGTTGCTAATGTTATTGAATCAAAGCAGAGCTAACTGTACGTACCATCTCCTGCGCAAAGGTTGCATATGACCGCAATGGCGATTGGGGATGATTTCCAATAGAAGATGCAGGCTGATGTGATTGACAGTGCATAGTAAAGCGGTCCCTTAAGTAGTTCCCTGATGCAGAGAGCGACTATAGACACTTTGTGAAGTGACAAAAGCAATAGCAAACAGACGAACCGAATCTTGATCATAGAAACCAAGATTGCTAAGAGATGGTTGGATATTGCTATCGGATTTAGTTCAAAAACATGTGACAGACACTTTGTCTAATTCAGCTACCTGCGATCTCCATGTCTGCTCATTGACTTGATCGTTCCTTCGTCGTGGTACACTCCAAGCCCCAGCAATAGCATCCTTATTATATTGAGTCCAGGTACAAGAGATGCGAAAAGCGCTCCTTGGATTCCAGAACTGAAACAATGGATATTGGAATAAACTGGTGAAGCAGAAATGCAAGCTGGTTCATCAAAATCGATCCTTTCACTCTGTATACCTGAACAGCGGCCAGCAAAGCATAAAAACTAGCCCAATATTAATATGCACAAGCTTCCGGATGAGTTTCTGAAAAACAAGAAATAACACCAATGTCAACCACAGATGCTAAACTAATGCCTCAGTCATTAAAACATGAAAGTTGAGTCAGCCAAAAATCACACAGCCTGTGGCTCTTATAAATTCAATGGGTTCTGAGATGATATCTAGGTCACAATAAGGTCAGAGAAACAAAATCTACTAGCCGAAGCCATACAAGTCTTCCCCAACCAAAAGTGTTTAATAGAATATTTGCTAATCATCGTATACAGCAGTTTCAAAGTCTAACGTCCACCAGCACCATAAAGAAGATAACTAACATTCCTCTACTCCTAACCGAATTACATGAAGAAAAACAAGTCACTGAAGAGAAACTGTACACATAAGAGATAGATAAAAAACACAAGCCATTAAATAATTCTACAAAGTATAGCAAACAAATTGTGCAACATTTAAATCTACAAATTTCATATGGTTGAATCTTCAAGTTACGATGAGATTTGTGATTATACGCACGAATTTCAAAAAACATTTCATCCCCAAATTGGTTTCTGAGCAAATTTCCTTCTAATTTACCAGATTTGGGGTTACTTTCCAATTCTCTTCGCTACAAGTTTATCGCTTTATTCTATCCTAAAATACGTCTCCATCCACATTATATAATTTCTTGAATTATCCTCGCCATTAATGCCATCATTACTCGAATTAGCTACTACTAGTACTCTGCTGAATTCAAGTTGCTTTAACCAGAAATTGCAGAATCGAGCAAAATTCCAAAAATGTTGAACAAATCGACGCCTGCGTGTACATATAAGTGAATTGAACTATCGAACCTGGTCCAAGAGGCCACGTTTGCCAATCTCTCCCCAGAAACCGAGGCACGAGAACGCAACGATGCTAGTGATTCCAAACGCGCAGACATCTGCCAAAACCGAATTTCCGGGAAACATCACGGCGGCGAGTGAAGACGACGTCGTTAGACTCCGAGTAGACTTACGGATTTCGGTCGCCGGAAACCTAGAGCTCGATCTAAAGCTAGTAGTGAGGAATCGTGGAATCGGAGAGAAGAAGCAAGGGATGTTGGTGAGAGGAGGAGAGTCAACGAGAGGAGATGAAATGAAAGAGCAGAGAACGGAGAGCTTAGTAGTAGTTGCCATTTTCTGCAACACTAGAGACGACGACCTTTTCTTCGATTACTTTTTTCATCGCATTTAATTTTTTGACAGCAACTGGTTGGTAGTTGTTTACTCAAGCACACAAAATTTGGTTTGTTTTTATTTTTTTCCCAAAAGAAGGTGGAACCGTGGAAGTGGATATTTCCCTATTTATTTCCCAAAAGGAGTGTTTTACTATTTTCGTTTCAGCTTTGTTCTACTTTTGTGTGATTTGGTTTTGATTATTTAGTATTTGGTTTAGAGCAAGTTTAGTTTAGTTCTATTTGGATTTGGCTAGGTTTAGTTAGAAAATAACTATCAACATATAATGATTCGTCGGATAGTTGGTTCCGTGATTCGTTGAGGAAACGCAAAATTAGTTGGATGTTAGTGAAAAGTGGAGCGATTCTACTAATAGAGAGCAGACAGAACGATGATTTTCGGTCATAGAAGTCGATGTCACTTTTCGTTGAGAAAGCACATCTTTTGTTGGGTTTTATTGAGCTACAATTCGGCCAATTGAGAGTTGATCTACACTTTGGTAACTTGGTAATCATTGGCGAAAGCAAAGAGTGGAGTTTTGCAGGAGTTTTCGTGTCAAGTATATGGAAGAAAAAAATGTCTTAGACAAAACCATATACTTGAAAGAAGATATAAACTACTACTCTCAATGAAAATTTTCTGATTTCTTATGTTCTATGAAAAGAAAATCGGTACACACACTTCCAATACACTCATCTCAAAAACAAAATGTCATTTCAGGAGCTATGATCGCCCTCGAATCGACGGTGAAAATTGTGTTTACTATGTTTGTTACGAGAATAAAACCCGTTTTACTAGAAATATTCGACAGATGTGCCATGCTCATCAAGAAAACGGATTTCGTCTCCCTTTCACCAATGTGCGAGATGGAGGATCGTTTCAAGTATCCATAATTTTGTTACCTATAGCTTGAATTTGATACTCCTAGTCTAGACTCCCAGCGTTACAAATCATTAGTCAACCAGACGGACCACACAGTTTGTTATTGTGGGCCTAGTTTGGGCTTATATTTGCTAAATAATTCGGGCTGCTAAGTCAACTAAACGGACCACAATTTGATTTCATCAAATCATTTTATGATTAATAAATAATTTAGTTTTATGAAACACAATTCAATTATTGTGCAAATACTCAGAGATTCGAGAAGCATAAAAAGTGATCAGATTCCCTCACATGGGTTGCCGAGACACATGACCACACGTCTCTTGCCTTGTTTATTCTTTATCAGTTTTACATCAACTGTACCAAAAAAAAACACCATTTTTAATTTAATTGATTTCAATGTGAGATTTTCTCCATTTTTTTTTTGCATCAAATAATGCCAACCTAATCCTCAATTATTTATCTTTATTTTTTTCTGAAGCAATCTTCAATTATTTATCAGTTGGCAAAAGAAAAAAAATCCTCAATTATTTCGCCATTGGTATATATGTTTATCTTTAAAAAGTACACTTGCATGTGTTTTCCAGGTGTGTGGGCAAAATAACAACAGAATTGGTTCTGTATATAGGTCTTTCTACTTTTTATTTTTATTGTTACAAAACATTTTATGTAAGTTGTTGGTCCAAATCCATGGTTTGAGTCTAAAAAACTAACTACTAGCTAAACTACGAAGATTTCAGGAAAAAAATACAAACAAATAAACACGCTCACGTACGTTACTGAGTAAAACGAAAACACCCATATTAACAAATGATTAGTGATCAGTAGTAAAGAAAGGGTTTGCAATATTTTAAAATCGTGTTGGAATAATGGTTTATTTACTAATAGAAGACCACTTCTTTGTTTGTCCTTTAAATCACAACTAATCTACCAATAAAACTAAATTTGTCGTTGATTAATACTCTTAAAATGTAAAGCTCAATAAGTGTTTTAGATAGGAGATAACCGATAAGAAAGCACATAACTAGTTAACCTACCTATCTTGGCATCACGTGAACCATGACGTTGGATAGTCAGAGTGGCTTATTATAATTATCACCATTCACCAAGATGAACCAACCATCTTATTTATTTATATTCTCTAAACTATAAATAATCATCAGATAACTCTTTAATAAACCAATTTTTTCACAAATTAACAGCCATATATATAAATTATATTTAGTAAAATAAACCATTTTTCTCCAACAGTTGAAAGTATCAATTTAATTAGGATTAATGATTTAGAAAAGAAAGAAAGTATCAATATGTTCAAATTTATGGAAAAAAACAAACATTTAACAAAGAAACAAAATATAAAAAAGGCAAGTGATCTTTGCACAAAAAGAAAAAAAAAAGGAATAAAAAGGAAAGTGGTCTGGTTCGTATCGCACCCAATAAGAACCACCAACCAGAGTCTCAGTGAAGTTCGTAAACTGTTCCCCCAAAAAAGCAAAAAAGAAAGAAAGACCGATGAGAGATGATGATGACTCCATTTCTTTTTTCCGTATAAATGGTTTTTGGGTTTGCAAAATGCATAACGGAGGGAGAAAAATTCTCAACCTTTTTTCTGAGAATCGACTTCGACGCCATTACTTGACATAAAAAAAAAGCACTCTTTTTCTTTTCTCCCCAAATTATTAACCTTTTTTAAAAATAATTTATATTCACAATCACACTTCATCGTCTTCTTCTTCTCTCTCTCCTTTTTGTCTCTGCACTGTTTGTTGTCACCGGAGACAGAGCGTGTGTTTTCAACTCTCTCTCTCGCTCTCTCCGTCTACCTCTTCTTCAAAATCAAACCCATTTCTCAGATTTCTGTGATATTGCAAAAATGCGCAATCTAAAACTCTTTGAGAGATTTAAAAGCACCCAAGTCCACGCCTTTACTACACAAGACTCTCCCTCTACAAGCAGCAATGGTAGCCCTCAAATCATGAAGTTCTTAGGCCATCCCAAATCTAGTTCCAAATCCAAATCTCGTTCACTTCTCCCTCATGGCTTTCCCACCACAGACCTCCTTGAGCCTCCCTTAGAGTCTTACCTCAAACCTATCGATTTGGTGGAGTCATTATCAAATCTCTATCGGAGAATCGAGTCCAGTTCGGAATCCGAGACGTCAATGCTCTACCTTGAGCAGTACGCTGTTCTCCGCAGTCTCGGTGATGCAAAGCTCTTGCGTAGGTGTCTGCTCAATGCTAGGAGGCACGCCATTGATGTCCCTTGTAAGGTTGTTTTGTCTGCTTGGTTGAGATTTTTTAGGAGAGAATACGAACTTGTGGGAGTTGAATCTATGGATTGTAATGGTCTTGCTACTGAATGTCCTAAGACTAGTTTGACTCATGGTTGTGATTTGAATGTAGACGACGAGGGTTGTGAATGCTCTACTGTATGTGAGGATGACTTTTGTAGTGATGACATTAAAATCTCTAGGGCTGATGAGTTTTCTGGTCTAGATGAGGTTAGCGATATTTCTTTCTGCGTAGGTTCAGAGAAGGCTAAGTGTGTTAGGTCGAGAATCGCAGCGCTTTCGCGTCCTTTTGAGGCCATGTTATATGGTTCTTTCGTGGAATCAAGAACTTCTGAGATTGATTTCTCGGAAAATGGCATCTCAATTGAGGCAATGGTTGCACTGAACATATATAGTAGGATCAAAAGAGTTGATCTGTTTCGTTTTGAAACTGTCTTTGAGCTGCTTCAGTTAGCCAGCAAGTTCTGTTGCGACGATCTGAAGTCTGAATGTGAGGCTCACTTGGCTGCTTCTGTCACTAACCTCGATAAAGCTTTAACCTTTGTAGAGTATGCGTTGGAGGAGCGCACAGCGCTTCTCTTATCTGCTTGCTTGCAGGTGTTTCTGAGAGAGCTTCCTCAGTCTCTTCACAATCCCAAAGTGATGAGATTCTTCTGCAGTTCCGAAGTGAAAGAACAAATAGCTTTTCTGGGTTCAGAGTGTTTGTTCCTGTTGTACTACTTCCTCAGCCAAGTAGGCATGGAAGAGAAACTCACGACGGAGCCTATGCTGATATTGCTAGAGAGAACTCGAGAGTTTGCTCGCAAGAACTGGCAAAAGGCTTTATCTTTGCATCAAATGGGATGTGTTCTGTTTGAGAGAAAGGATTACAAAGCAGCCCAGTTTCATTTCAGATTAGCTTCAAGCTTAGGGCATGTGTACTCATTGGCTGGGGTATCAAGAACTGAATATAAACAAGGGAAGAGGTATTCGGCATACAAGCTCATGAACTTTCTCATCTCCAATCACAAGCCACATGGATGGATGTACCAGGAAAGATCTCTGTACAATGTTGGGGTTGAGAAACTAAAAGATTTAGCAACCGCCACTGAATTTGACCCGACACTGACTTTTCCGTACAAGTACAGAGCCGTGATGAAATTCGAACAGAAGCAGATTAAAGAAGCCTTCGAGGAGATTGATAGATTAGTTCAGTTCAAACTTAGTCCAGAATGTCTCGAGCTGAGGGCTTGGCTATTTTTAGCCACTGGTGACCGGGAGAGGTGTTTGAGAGATCTAAGAGCAGTGTTGTCTTTAGAGCCGAATTATGTTCTGTTTGGTGGGAAAATTAGAGATGATTTGGTGGAGGCTCTGACCGCGCAATGTATTGAAGTAGAGAGTGAAGCGGATTGTTGGGTGAGGCTTTTCGATAGATGGTCAGCTGTGGATGATATTGGGTCGTTGGCTGTTGTTCATCAGATGCTTCAGAATGATCCCAGCAAAAATTTTCTGAGGTTTAGACAATCTCTTCTTCTCTTAAGGTAAAAAGAATTATCTTTTGTTTCTCAGGCAAAACTTGATTGGTGAATTTTTCAGGTGTTGACAAAAGCTACATTTTTTTGTGATCTGTGACAGATTGAATTGTCAAGGAGCCGCGATGAGGTGTTTGCGAATGGCATGGAACTTGGCTACTTCTGAGGCAGAGAGGTTGGTCTACGAAGGGTGGCTTTTATACGACATGGGTTATGTGGAAGAAACTCTTACTAAAGCCGAGGAGGCAATCTCTATTCAGCGATCCTTTGAAGCATTTTTCCTCAAAGCCTATGCTCTAGCTGACAAGAATCTCGATGCAGACGAGGTCTCTTGTGTGGTTCAGGTTCTAGAGGAAGCCCTCAAGTGTCCTTCGGATGGGCTACGCAAAGGACAGGTTGGCATTTTGATATCTTGCGTTTCTCTTTTTCTTATTCACACTGGAATCTCATTAATCTTTTTGTTATGTTTCTGCAGGCTCTGAACAACCTTGGGAGCATCTACATCGATTTGGGGATGCTAGATCAAGCTGAAACCGCATATAAGAACGCAATAGAGATCAAACACACTCGTGCACATCAAGGGCTGGCGCGAGTTTATTTCTTGAAGAACCAACGTAAAGAAGCGTGTGAGGAGATGACAAAGCTGATCGAGAAGGCGTGTAGCAAAGCTGCAGCCTACGAGAAACGGTCTGAGTACTGTGAACGTGAAAAAGCCAAAGAGGATCTTGACATGGCCACAACACTCGACCCTCTGCGAACTTATCCCTACAGATATCGAGCTGCCGGTAACTAACTCTTCCTGTTCCCTGTTAACATCTTATAAATTCTAGTAGTTAAGGAAGTGATTGCTGTGTGGCAGTGCTGATGGATGATCAGAGAGAGACAGAAGCAGTGGAAGAGCTGTCAAAGGCGATAGCTTTCAGACCAGAACTGCAAACGCTGCATCTCAGAGCAGCATTTCACGAGGCCACAGGGAATCTGTCATTGGCCACTCAAGACTGTGAAGCTGCTCTCTGTTTGGACCCTAACCACACCGAGACGCTCCATCTCTACAGCAGATCCAAGGATCAAGCTTCTTCCATTGACAACACCATTTTTGGCTTAGATTAATTTGAAGGTATCAACCATATTATTATTATCCCATTTGTATATTTCATTGGGATTGATCTATACATAGATTTAACTTTTATTTTCTTCTTCTATACATGGATGCCGTAAATAAACTGCCATTTATTAATCTTATCAATGGTTTCTATGCAAAACCAACTTTTTAGTATATACAGTAAAGAGTCTTTTAATGCAGAGGAACAAAAAAAAAGATGATCATCACTTCACAGTGTCATTTGTGTATATATATACAGGGGACACCTACAAGGACGGCTTCTTTCTCTTTAGTTTCCTTCTGTGGATATGATCTCCAGCTCTGTCCACCACCGTGAAGACAGTCTCGGCATTGCTGCGTCAGCTTCTATTCCAGTTATCTCTCTCAATTTCACCACAACCTCTCTCATTGTTGGCCGCTGAGCTGAGTATGGATTCATACACTGCCTAACCACCTCCAACAGTCTCTCAACAACATTTTCCTGAAATGTTTTCAGTGTCGGGTCCACAATATCTCTTGCGGGCTTGGGTTCGAGAAGCAAAGAATCCGGGTCTGGTAACTTCCCACTGATGATTTCGAACACAACGGCACCAAAGTTGAAGACGTTTGTCTGAGAATCAAGTAATGAGTGTTCTAGAAGGTTCTTGCTTGATGAACCTTCCTTAGAGGGAAAGATGGAGTTGATGGCAGAAAAGTCGGAGACTTTGGCGGCGTTGTCTTCAGTCAAGTAGACAGAAGAGGAGTCCAAAGTGGAGTGCAAGATGGGTGGGTTAAGATTGTGCATGTGCTCTAGACAATAAGCTATTCCCATGACGATTCTGAGTCTGGTAGGCCAGTCCAAGTGCTCCACGTGTTGAGCTGCCATGAAAGATCAGTTCAAAGATTGTATGAGTTAAATCAAAAAAGATTTCTTGGGGAGATGAAATCCTCACAGTGCAGATGCTCGGAGAGTGATCCATTGGGAGCGTATTCAAAAACCAGCATTCGCTTGAAGGGCTCTTCCTCGTGGCAATAACCGATCACATTCAGAAAGTTCTTGTGATCCACTTTGGATAGATTATGCATCTGCAGAAACAGAGCAGAGTTGTTCATCAATGGCAATGCCAATCTCTGTTCAAGACAAGTGCAAACCAGGTTCTGATACCTTTTGTAGCAACTGGGTGTCCATGGTGGTGGACCAGTCTGAACGAGAACCAGCCACGACAGACACAACAGCGATTTCAGCACCAGTGGACAAAGTTCCTTTATAAATGGCGCCATCTGAGAAAGAGCCGATAACGTTACTAAAATCTTCGCAGGCTGCTTGTAGCTCAGATAGCTGCAGCCTCGGAACATCTGCTGCAATACAAAACTATTAAATTAAAGAAGTTCGATAGGAAGAGAGAACAAAAGAGAGGTGAAGACTGAAGAGTGTGTTTGCCTGCGATAAGAGCATCTCGAAGCTGGCCACTGTTGGTCCAAGGCTTGATTGGAATCTTTCGACTAAGGATAAGAAAGATGATGATTAATGCTACCGAGACTGTGAATACGCCAACGACTATGCCGACGATCATATAAACTTTGGAAGACTTCTTTGTAGTTTCTGGAGACGGAGGAGGAGACGGAGGTGGAGCCAGAGGTACAGGCAGAGGAGTAATAGCAGGAGGGTTCTCTGGAGTTTGTGATCTCACACCACTTTGAGGAGGGCTCGGGGTTTTGTCGCCTTCTGGTGGTGGCTGAGGCGGCAGGGGATCTCTCAAGATTGCAGATTCTGGAGATGGCGGGGAGGCATCCAGGGCAGGGGATTTACCAGGAAGAGGTGTATCAATCAAGCTGCGACGATTTCCGTAAACTCTGGACTGGATCAATAAGTGATCTTGAGAAGAATCAAAGACTTCTACAATCTCTTCAAGAAATGAATAGTTATCATTTAAAGAGACACACAAAAGATTGCATAGAGAAACAGAGAGATGAGGATCAAAAGAAACTACCTTGAGAGTTAAGATTCAGAGGAAGAAAGGTGAGGAAGATGATGGAGAATATTATTCGGAGATTGAATCTCCGCCGTCTATTGGAACTCATAGGAGATTGATTTGTTTGCTTCTGTGGTTTGTTCCCGAAAGAAGGAAGAAGGAAGAGAATGTTGGAGGAGCAGTTGAAGTCGTCGTTGAGGATCAAGAAGACTAATCAACGGTTGCTAATACTCTTTCAACCTTTTTTTAATTATCATAAACCCAACGACCAATTTTCATTACTCTCTTTAAGATTTTTCTTTTAGAAAAGCAACAACAGTTTGAAGTTTATTATACACACTTGACACTTGTGGAAGTTACTTAACAAAGTCATAGAAGTTAAATCATGATAAGTTTTTATTCAGGTTTTACGCAATTGTCATATATTTCTTTTACCAAAATTTCACTAATAAATATGTTCTTGATCTTGTAGACTAATCTAAGTATGTGACACGATAACGGCTTTGAAACATACAAGATTCTTATGCAAATTAAATACATAGTTCTTTGGTATATATTAGCATGTGTACAAAGGAAACACACGGCTACTCGATTGGCTCGATGGTTGAAGCATCAGTGGGTCAGAGTTTGCTTGACACAACCAGCCTTCGAGTAGCTGTACACCAGACATACACACAACAACAACATAACCTCTACCATAAATTAATTGAGAAAAAAGGTATTATAAAATACCTTATAATTTTAGGATTCACTACGGTGCAATTTATTGGATAAAATTTAGAGTAGAATATTAACAAGTAGAAATTGGAGTTGTTACTTTTTACAAGTTCATAATATTAAAAACTAATTATCTTTGCAATGGACCAATGGTTATATTTCACCTATTTTCGGAAAATATGATCTAAATAAAAACTCAAACAACCAATATTATTTTGTACGTTAACTCAATGATATGGACAATCAATCCTTCATATATGAAGCGTTATAATTTTTATAAATCAAGTAATAAATAATAATAATGTCATAATTGGAAAAAATAACACCAAGTGTACCATGCACATGTATATATACATTCTTTCTTAGGCCAGAAATGTGTTATCGTCCATCAATTATTCATCTTTTCTACTTTTCCAAAATTTATTCTTTTTTTATTTTTTTGCTATTTTTGAAATTAAAATCTTCAACTATGCTAGAAGACCAATTTAGACCTTTCGTTTTTTTTTCTTCCATACCACATTTAGATCTATAATTTAAAAATTCGAAAAATATATCACTTACATACTATACGCTTCGACAGCAAATAATACTTAGCTGCTAATCACGTTCACATCACATGATCTAATGATTTGTTTTTCTTTTGACAAATCCTAATTATCCAAAACAAATCTGAAGCTACCTCTTTTCCATTACGAATTATACAAATTGGAAACTTCTGAAAAATTAGATTAAAACCAAATATTTAATTATTCCAATTTCTCGTATCAGAAACTTAAACCAAAAAAAAAAAAACTGAAAATCTAGGAATTAATTAGGCTGGAGATGAGGAAATGAACAAGAAGAGCACCTGACGAGACCATTCTCGTTGCAGGTTAAGCAAGTTCTGAACCCTAGCTTCTCCGTATGAACCTTATGGCTACCATGACACTCCTTACACGGTACGAATCTATGACCACCACACATCTCACATACCCCTGGTTCAATCTTCGGCAACTCTTGTACAAGCTTCTTCAACTCTCCGATCTCGTGAAGCTGTTTCACCTCCTCCGCTCCTCCGATATAACGACCACCGATGAAGACTCGCGGCAGCTTCTTCGTCTGGTTTTGATCCTTCCCGAAGATTCGTTGTAGCTCTGTGGAGAATGACGCGTCCATTGAGAGATCTCGTTCGTCGATTCGTACCGGGAAGCTATGGAGGATCGATGTAACGGATTTGCAGGCTTCGAATGTTGGACGAACGACGCGGAGGCTTGTGAAGTAGACGACGATGCTGTTCTCTGCGCCTGGGATTGAAATTCGTACATCTGGCTCGGTTTTGGTCTTCGATTGTTTTGAATCTGAGTCTGGATTTAGATTCCGGCGTAGATTGATTGGTTCGGAATCTGCGCGGAGGAGGTTATTAGATTGACGAGTTGGCCACGATTTGAGGATCAAATTAGCTGCGCGGACTCGGTGGAAAACTCTAGAAGCGTTTTTTGGAGATGGAGAAGGAGAAGAAGGGTAGGAAGGTGGATCGTCGGAGCAGAGATGGTGAATGTCTTTGAAGGAAGCGGTGGTTGGAGAGTATGTGTCGTGAATTTTGACCGACGATTTACGCCACGGCCGCCACATTGACGGTGGTAGAAACGGCGGCGAGAGTTGAAGATTTGGGGAGACTAAAATTAGGGTTTGTGTGGGATTTGGGATTTGGGATTTGCAGAGGAATGGAGTTTTGGGGAAGAAGAGAGAGAGAGAGAGAAGAGAGAGGGCTGGTTAAAAAAAAAGTGGTTGGAAGATTTTTGGAATTGTTAAATCTCTCCTTATTTGGTTTTGTTACTTTTTTTTGTGTTTTTGGTTTCTAACATTTGGTTGTGATAAAACAGGTGATTTTAACGTTACTAATTATAATTAGGTGAAAAACTTAGATGCTAATTATAGTTACTATTCTGTTTAATGCTTTCTCTATTTTCCAAGATTTGTAGGTTGAACACACTTATTAATAAGATCAAATCTGATATTAATACAGGTGAGGTGAATTTAGAATTTCAGATTAGTATTTTCTGCATTTAGTAAAAATAAGGAAGACTTAAATTATTCTTTTGAATAAAAATTGCTGGGTAAGAAAAATATTTATTTTTAACAGAAATGGTTAGAATTACGAAATCTTAAAAAGATAAATTCTACAGCATTAGAGCATCTAATTTTCTTGGCTAGAGGTGTGAAGCTAATCTATGGATACTTTGCATTTTTCTAAGTTATAAACTGTAGTATATTTTGGGTCAACTTTTCATTGAACTAAAAGTATAGGAAATTTAATTTATTGTACTATAATTACTATAAATAGGACAACACAAATCCACATGAGATTAAAACTGATCCTTCAGATTGGGAAACTACTCGTAATAGAGTACTCCAGCACTAATGTTTGTCTACATTAACGGATCACATACAAACAAACGCCAAATATTTGCTAGATACATCGATTATATACTACATATGTTATTATACGCTTAAAATACTAATCATATATAATTGGGAAAGTGGGTTGCAAAAACATAAACGTTATGAACTTGAATAAGTCGATGAAAAAAATTGAACTTGAATAAGTACTGTGGAATAATAAAGACTCTATGACAAACAAACAAAAACCCCAAAAAGTGTCGTTCAATCTTCGTTTTGGTTTATTCTCGAAGGCAATACAAAATATTTGAAAGGTGAATAAATGAAATTAATTACAGTAAATGTTTTATTATTCTATAAATGATTATTACTCTTTATATATGTATGCATTCAAACTTCAAAGTCAAAGAGAAAAACTGGCAATAGTGTTGGGGATTGTTTAATGAGATTTATGTTCCTATAATATGCACAGCTGTATTCAACTTATACTATATACATATACCCTATCTGTTTCACACAGTATTAAATTTATATCTTGACTTTTATTTTAATCTCCGTATTTATATGAAAAAGATCAAGTATAAAAAATACTCCATATATCGGGAATTAAAATGGTATTTTGGAAACATATAGTATAAAAAATAATGAGTAAGAAATGGGTTTAAAATAAAGGGAAATAAGAGAAGAAGAAATTAAGAAAAGAGAGAAGTGGGAGTAAAGACTAAAGAGGAATAATCACGTGAGGCGGGACCAACGAACAAAATGATTACTGTAACATTGAAAAAGTACAACCAAAGCTATAAGAGCATGAATATTGGTTGAAATGTTGGGTATCTTAGACAAATCTTAGGATTAAAGTTGATTAAAAATAATCAAACCAACATTTTAAAGCTAAGATTTGTATCTAAGTTAAGATGTTTTTCTTAACTTAAGTTGTTGTAAGGTGTCACATTGTGATTGGTTAAAAAAACATTTGTGCTTTATGTTATTTATGTTATAAATTGTATCTCATGTATGTTTTAATTTTTTTAATTTGCAATAATTATTAAATTTTCTATAATTATAAATTTTATTTTTATATTAATATTTTTTTTTTCTAAGAACCACATGTTAAGAACCTACCATTAATCACACAAAAATCTTAACCCAAAAATACTATCTCTTAGAGCAACAGCAACGGTGCAATCAACGTATAGGTTTTAGTATTAAAATAATCGATTTTATTGCAAAAGTTGTGTCAGAGTCGAAACCCGTGTGTATGTTCACAACCGGGTGTAGCATTTAATTGTGAGACAAAAATTTTTACATTATTTTATTACATTATTTTATTACTTCAACTCTCATTATTTTATTAATAAAACAACACTAACACATACACCCCCACTTTTACCACTGCCCATGGTCTTACCTATCACTTTTACAAATATATTACTTAAATATTCCTAAGATTTATTTCTAAGACCATACACAATGGTACAATCTTTGGTTGTGTGTGAGTAATATAAAAAGGAAAAAAATAGAAAAGTTGTGTAGAAGTTGTATGTTGGGTGTAAGTTTACACTTGGGTGTGAGTATTAAAATAAAGAGAAATATTGCACTCTCTCTATCTCTCTATCTCTTTTCTCTCTCTCTTTAATTATAATAATAAAAAATTATTCACACCCACACTCACACATGTGCCATTGTGTATGCTCTAAGATACTACCAATAATCATGCTCTAACAATACTATTTGTTTAAACTTATTCAAATCGAGTTTAGTGCTAACTGCTAACAAAAAGGTAGGAGTATTTGACAATTTTTTTTTTAATGACCACAAAATTCTCTAGCTAAATTTTGTTTTCCTCGGTCTATTATTGTAGCTTATTGTTTGTTAAACAGGCTAAATTCTTTATGCGCATATTCAACAAAAAAGAGGGGTAAAAAAAACTGTGATTATTTGGAAAAAAAGAATTGGGGAAGAGCCAAAAGGTACATAACTTATAAAAAGTGATAAACTAGTTAAAAACTCAATAATTATGGATTGATGGTGGTACAACAAAAAGGGCACGTGGAGTGGTGGGTTCTGAAAAGCATCACGTGTCACCACTTTGACGAAAGTCGAAAGCTAAAGATGAAATGTCCCCCTCTTCCCCCGATAAACCAATATACGGATCATTTTCTTTTTTCCACATATACGTGTTTGTTGTATTTGTGGGTCTATGGATTTGCTTTGTAACGGGCCTAGCATTCAGCCCAAATCGTATAAAGCGTACACTTATAGAACTGTGGTTTTGCAATTTGTTACCCCTCTCCAATCTTTCTTTTAATATTTGTTGAGCTTGGCTTTTGGTTTTGAAATCGTTGTTTTGTTAGTTGTCAGGTACTAATATTGTATTTGTTGTGATTGTATCATCAGTGCTAAATTAGGTCTCCTTCATTACAAGTTGTTGTTATTTGCCAAACAGGAATCTAAAAGTCCCTGTCAAGTGTTTTTTACTTTCAAATCTGTTGGTTTTTACTACACAATGCCTTTTACAAATGGTGAAAAATGAGCGAGATAATATTTTGCTCTATATTGAAGGCATTATTTTGGGCCTAAAACAGACAAAAGAGATGGGTCCTCGAGGGCCACAACAACAACAAGTATCAAACCAAACCTACACGGACGCACCCTTCCCCTTTATGTTTCCAACAGTTCATATCACCATTATGATCATTACATACTATATAATTACGATTTTAGTGTTACAATCTGAATGTACAATATGATCTTACCATATAAACGCCAAACTTAGCGTGAAACGGAGCGGAGCAATGTGTTATGGATATGAGAGAAGTTGGGGCGTTTGGAGGGGGAGTTGTTCCAGCAATTGATCATCAGAGTTCTCAGGGCTTGAGGGCATTCCTTTGGGATATCCGGTCTTAGGCCACAAGCTGCAATCCCAACCGCTGCCTGCACGGGCGAGCAAGATGCATAAGCCGCCTCTCCCGTCACCATCTCCCACAGTACCATCCCAAAACTATAAGCATTGCTCATCCAAGTCTCTGTCGTATTTTCCGGGTCACCAGCTATGATCTGCTTTCAACCATGTCATACAAAAAATAGGTTTCATCATATAAAATAAATCTAGTAACTTCGTGTTCAGATCCAAGAATTGAACTAAAGGCTTGGCTAGAACCAAGAACAAGTGTGCTCTAGTAGAAATGATTGGACCATTTGCGACAATTGGAATGACTAAGATAACCAAAAAGAGTTAGGTATAGCTCAACTAATAATTAAAGTGAAGAAATTGGAGGTGTTAGCTAGTCTAAGGTGCTTTTGCGACGATTAGACAGAACCTAATTAGATCCACACTTGTCTATGATATATGTATCAAAAAGTGAGGATCCAATAACTGCCCAGACAAACAGAATATGGTAAATCAGATATGGCCAAAACAAAAAGCAAAGGAACTTATTTTGTTCAAAAGGAAAAAAAAATCAAAACAAGATGCAGTGGGTCATATGGGGACAGTAGAGATGAAGCACATAGGGCCTGCGATTTGTTTCTATGAAATTATGATATGGGGCAGAGAAATTTATAAGCAAGCTTTCAGGTGCCTAGTTTTCTGTATCAATTGGCTTAGGTGTAAAAAGGATCAGAAATGGCAAACATGATGATGCTTACAATATTGAATAAAGAAAAGACTAAAAAGAACACATACCTCAGGTGCAAGCCATCGATAGCCATCAGTTTCGTACTCCACAGCTTCACCAAAGCTTTTACAAGCGGTGACTATTCCAATATCCCCCAAACATGCATTGCCATGTTTATCTAGTAGTATTCTTTGTGTGTTAAGGTCCCGATAAGCAACACCATGATCATTCACGAACTTCAGCCCTTCGGCTATGTCTATTGCAATTCGCAGTATCTGCTTGGTTTGAAGCTTCTTATTCTTCAACATCAGTTCATGGAGTGACCCACCTTCCATCAGTTTTGTCACAACGCATAATCCATGGTTCTCATCGATGCAAACGCCATAAAATTGCAGAATGCTCTTGTGTCCACAAGCCATCAGCTCCAAGTAATCTTTTCGGAGCTCAAACTCATATGAATTCCCCTTATCACAACCTTTTAGTTTCTCAATTCCCACTCTCTTTCCTCGGAAAATTCCTTTGAAAGAAGTTGGTCCAATCTGATCACCGAACTCAAAACTATCAGAATTCAATATCCATTTTCCAATCTCATTGCCACCCGATTGGATAGTTTGCCATTCATCTACTGATACAGCAAATGAAGAACTCGGAAGTGGAATGTGAAGCTGGATCGTACTATTCATAT